TGACTGTCCCAGGCACGAGGCCGGGCCTGTGGGGTTAGACTGGACAACGCATGAACACAGTGGGAACCTGCCGCTCTGCTTCTACCTCCCAGGCGTCCTTGCTGTGCCCAAGTCCCTGGCCAGCCTCAGTCCATGGGCCTCAGGATGCAAGGGTGCACCCCTTGCATTACCATAGCAATGTAGCCTGTGATGGCTAAGGGGGAAACTGCAGATAACCCCCGCATGGGGGAGGCAGGCCGGGGAAACAGCCTCTCTCCCATGGCAGGCTGGAGCCGGTACTGGTCCAGTGACTGCACGACGGTTCGCAGTGTCTGCTCAGTGGGAGTGCGTTCCTGCCCTGGGAGCCAGCAGCTCACTCCTGCGTGCGTGTGCCTGCCTGCGCCTGCACGTGTGTAGCAGCTACCTCCAAGGCATGAGGCAGGCTGACCGCATCGTGGAAGCTTCGTTCGTTATAGCCTCATGCCAGGGACTATGGGCCTGTCGGTGAGTGGATCCACTTGGCAGGACACCACACAGCAAGTACATCCTCACGGACACACGTCATAACCCAAGCTGGCGACCGGCAGGCATTCCCTCCGGGGACATGACATTCAGGGCCAGCAGGACCCATGGCAGCGCAGATACAGGAATAGAAATGGCATGGGGAGAGGCTGGCGGGGTGCCTTCTATTTTGGGGCCTGGTGATGATCTCCTGGACGTGCGCCCCGGTGGCAGCTCACCGGCTATTTTTGGCTTTTGCTCATTTTTCCGCATGTGTCGGTATGTTGGCAGAGCATGCGTGCAGGCTAGCCAACAGAGTGCTGCTCAGTGACGAAGGATCTGAAAAGCATCTTGCTGTTTTAAAGATTCACATATTCACTTGGAAGACTCTCTCCCAGGCGGGCGGCAGGGCTCCATCACTGAGCTCACACCTGCTGGCTCGTGGGCTGCACACTCGCAGGGAGCGGGAGACGGCAGCTGGCCCAAGGCTTCCGTGTGAGATGTAGCTGTGTCACGTGCCGGACTAGAGGCTGCTCCCGAACAGCCGGTAGGTAAGGTGAGGAAAGCTAGGGTGAGCAGAGGCCGTCCTCCAGCATTGGCCCATCCACCTGGGACACCTGCTGAAGGGCCCTTGCGGTCCGTGTCCGCCTGTCATGCCGTGCCCTTGAAGCGGACGGGCTCCCGACAATCCCTAAGGTTCTTGCCTCTGCAGCCCTAAGTCAGAGGGTCTGAGCGCTGTAACTTGCAGCCGCAGCTGCCACAATCCATGCCTTCCTAACAGAGGCTGCAGCAAACGGCACACAACCAGATGTGGAGGAAAACTACTCCTTGAGGGGTTGCCATGGTGCTCAGCAAGCTAGGCTGCCGACGGCATCTCGGTAAGACAGGTTCAATCTCCACTGCTCTGCTTCCTGTCCAGCACCCTGCCAGTGAGCCTGAGAAAGCAGCACACATCAGCTCAAGGGCTTGGACCCCACACCGGACATGGGATGAGCAGGTGGAGTTCCGGGCTCCTGGCTGCAGCATGGCCCAGCCCAGCTGTGCAGCTGTTTGAAGGGGGAGCCAGCAGGTGGAAGGCCTCGTTCTCCTGTTTCTCAGCCACTCTGTCTTGCAAATGCACATTCCCCCTCCCCCCAAATCTTAAAAAAAATTACATTGGCTTTCAAACAATTGCTTTTAACAGGCAGGACCTGCAGCAGCCTGCTAAGGCACGGACAGACCTGCTCTCTGCACACAGACATCGCTTTGTCTTTGCCCTTGCACAGCCTCAGTTCTGCACAGCCAGAGCACTGCGAGATCTTGGGAGAGTTGGGTGGGAGTTGGCACGGGACTCCATCCCCTCTGGAAATGCTGCCTTTTTCTTAAACATTGTGCTTGTACCAGAGACCTTGAAAATAATTGGTAGAAGGGTAGGATTTATGCTTATTCATTTATTTAAGATTTATTTATTTTATTTGAAAGGCTAAGTTACACACAGAGAGAAAAACAGGGAGAGGTCTCCCATCCACTGGGTCAGTCCCCAAGTGACCACAACAGTCAGAGCTGAGCTGATATGAAGCCAGGAGCCAGGAGCTTCTCCCAGGTCTCCCCATGCGTGCAGTGGCAAAAGCACCAGGGCTTTCTCTGTTGCCTCCCCAGGCCACACGCAGGGAGCTGAATGGGATGGCAAGTGGAGCAGCCGGGACAGGAACTAGCACCCATGTGGGTTGCCCGCATACAAAACATTTCTTTATATTGAAAAAAAATGCATACATAGTTTTTTCTTCCTGTACATTTCCAGAACCTTTTTGCAGACTCGTGTGTGGTTCACAGCCCCGAGCGTGAGCCAACATGTGCTGTTTCTCAAGCGGCTCAGCTCTGGCCATCGTAGCCATTTGAGGAGTGAACCAGTAGATGCAAGATCTTAAAATATACCGTCCAAACAAAAATAAGTAAATCTGAGAGAGAGGGAGAGAGAGGAGGGATGCAGGCTTTGAAGTTGTTCTGGCAGTGGCGTCACACATCCTGAAGCCTGCTGCGGGGCCACCGGCCATCTGCCCGCTCACCTGCCCCTCCATCAGCCTTGCCTTGTCAGCCTCCTCCGGGGACCCTTCACGCAGACCCTCGAGGGAGACACGCTCTGCGGGTGGCCAACACCGCCCGCGTGCAGCACCCATGCCCCCGGCGTGGATCCCGCCGCCCAGGGCTGCAGGGCCAGCCTTCAGCCTCGGAGTCCCTTTACGTCTTCTGCTGATCCTAACGGCTTTCAGCTGCTGGGCATCCTGTCCAACAGGCTCATGGATTCCTCAACCAGGCTGATTTCCAGAAGAAACGAACCCTCGCACATGAACTTCAAAACCAGCAGTGTATGTGGTGGCCTGCCTCATTGCAGGCCCCTGCTTGTTGCTCTAGCCAACCAACCCCCCTAACCCTGACCCTGACCCTAACCCCCTAACCGTAACCCTGACCCTAATCCTAACCCTGCCTCATTGCAGGCCCCTGCTTGTTGCTCTAGCCAGCCAACCTCCTGACTGACTGCTCCCCAGGGTTTGGAGTCACCACTGGGAGACACGGGATGTTGGTGCCAACTTGTGGTCTGGCTGCTCCACTTCCCATGCAGCTCCCTGCCTGTGGCCTGGGAAGCAGTGGAGGACGGCCCAAAGCCTTGGGTCCCTGTATCCATGTAGGTGACCTGGAAGCAGCTCCTGACTTCAGCTTGGTTCAGCCGCAGCTGCTGAGCCCTCTGGGAGTGAACCAGCAGATGGAAGACCTCTGTTCCTCCCTCCCCCTGTGGAGCCCAGATATTTAATAACTACTTAAAATCCTGCATCCTATTCACAATATCCTTTGTCCTGCGGCCGGCCCATGTGACACGGACCAGCTGCTTAGGGGTACTGTGCCTCTGTCCCATCCTGTCCTGCGGAGAGCTGCGCTGAGGGACAAGATCTTGTTCCTGCTCCTTCTGGTTCCAGGCCCAGAACACACTTGGTCACGGACACACTCAACACCATCACTCCACGAGCTCTCAGCATTGCACTCCCTTATTCCCACGGCTCTGTCACTCATCCCCAGGACCCTACTCCCAGACTCCCTCATCCAGTCACACTCACACCCTGACATGCTCACTCCCCAGACACACTCACAGCCCTGACACGCTTAAAACTCAGATACACTCACACCCTGACACGCTCACTTCCCTGACACACTCACAGCCCTGACACGCTTAAAACTCAGATACACTCACACCCTGACACGCTCACTTCCCTGACACACTCACAGCCCTGACACACTTATACCTCAGATACACTCACACCCTGACACGCTCACTCCCCTGACACACTCACAGCCCTGACACGCTTAAAACTCAGATACACTCACACCCTGACACGCTCACTTCCCTGACACACTAACCTAGCACTCACACCCTGACACGCTCACTCCCCAGACACACTCACAGCCCTGACACGCTTAAAACTCAGATACACTCACACCCTGACACGCTCACTTCCCTGACACACTCACAGCCCTGACACACTTATACCTCAGATACACTCACACCTTGACACACTCACTCCTCAGATACACTCACACCCTGACACTCTCACTCCCCTGATACACTCACACACTTATACCTCAGACACACTCACAGCCTTGACATGCTTATACCTCAGATACACTCACACCTTGACACACTCACTCCTCAGATACACTCACACCCTGACACTCTCACTCCCCTGATACACTCACACCCTGACACGCTTATACCTCAGATACTCACACCCCCAACATGCTTACTCACTACATAAACTCGCTCCCTGACATACTCATTCCCAGACACACTCACAGCCCTGACACACTCATACCCCTGACCACTCACACCCCTGACACACTCACTCTCCATATAAACTTGCATCCCTGACACACTCACACCCCTGACATGCTCTCACCCCGACACACTCTCAGCCCCCGACACTCACACCCCGACACGCTCACACCCTTGACATGCTCTCACTCCGACACTCACACCCCTGACACACTCACACCCCTGACACACTCACACCCCTGACACACTCTCATCCCGACACGCTCACAGCCTTCACACTCTCAGCCCCTGACACTCACACCCCTGACACACTCACACTCCTGGCACACTCACACCCCTGACACGCTCACACCCCTGACACGCTCTCATCCCGACAGGCTCACAGCCCTCACACACTCTCAGCCCCTGACACTCACACCCCTGACACACTCACACTCCTGACATGCTTATACCTCAGATACACTCACACCCCGACACGCTCACACCCCTGACACACTCCTGACACGCTCACACCCCCTGACGCTCCCAGCCCTGTCACTCTCACACCCATTTCTACTTGTGGGCCCTAAGACAATTCACACCAGCTCCCACTGACCCCTGCACTCACCCAGAGTCACCGACCTCACTCGCTGACACAGGCCCGCTCTCAGACCCCACACTCATCCTCACACACACTCTCCCTAATAATCTCTAGGCCCTCTGACTCACACGCACTCACATGCCGGCTCCCCCTGCCTCGCTCCCGCCCCTGCCGGCTGGGGCGGCATCCCAGGCGCCTGAGCCCGCCCGCCGGCCCGGGGCCCCCGCCGGCCTGGACGCGCCCCCTCGGCCCCTCCCCGGACCCCGCGCGGCCTCCCGGCATGCACCGCCAGGTCCTCCCCGAGCCAGCGAGCGCGCGCCGGCTGCGCGGGACGGGCGCGGCCCTGCTCTCTGCTCGCCTCCTCTGCTCTCCTCCTCCTCCTCCTCCTCCTCCTCCTCCTCCTCCGCCCCGGACGGCCCCACCCCCAGCTCTCCTTCCCGGCGCGCTCGGCGGGCGCGGAGGTCGGCCGGTGGGCGCTGCGCGCGGAGGGCACGGCGGCGGACATGCGGGCCCCTGCGCTCTGGCCGGCGCTGGCCGTGCTGGCGGCGGCCGCGGGCTGCGCGCGGGCGGCCATGGACGAGTGCGCGGACGAGCGCGGGCGGCCGCAGCGCTGCATGCCCGAGTTCGTCAACGCCGCCTTCAACGCCACGGTGGTGGCCACCAACACGTGCGGGAGCCCGCCCGAGGAGTACTGCGTGCAGACCGGGGTGACCGGGGTCACCAAGTCCTGCCACCTGTGCGACGCCGCGCAGCCGCACCTGCGGCACGGCGCCGCCTTCCTCACCGACTACAACAACCAGGCCGACACCACCTGGTGGCAGAGCCAGACCATGCTGGCCGGCGTGCAGTACCCCAGCGCCATCAACCTCACGCTGCACCTCGGTAAGGCGGGGTGCCCCGGAGCCCTGCCCGCTGCGGGCCGTGGGACGCCGGGCCGGGGGTTGCAGGCGCAGCCCGGCCCCGCAGCCCGGCCCGTGTCGCGGGCTCCTGAGCGCGCTCGGCCAGCCTTCCTTCCCCGCGCGCCCAGCCTGGCCCCGGGTTCGCGGCGGGAGGAGTGGGCGCCCGGTGCTTGTGGTGGGTGGCCTCCTCGGGCCGCGTTCAGGGGCTGCGCCCGGCACCGGGTGTTGGGGACCTGTCGGGGGAAGCGGGAGAGGCCGTGGTGGGCCGCACGTGGGCCTCCCAGCAGGGGCCAGCATCCCCAGGGACCCTCAGGGCGGGTGCCCGGGCTTCCAGCCACTCTGTTCCTGCCGTGGGCCAGCATGACTTTTTTGAGTTATGTCCCAGTTATTTTTGTTTGGCTGTTGACTCGAAGCTTCTGTGTTCAGCTGGGAGTCCTATTTTTACCCGCTTTCAGATTCAGACTTTTTCAAAGAAAGGGCCCTGCCTCGAGAGGGCCAGGCGGGACCGGCAGGGCAGGCAGGGGTTAACCAGGTCACCGCCGCCTCGGGAAGGTGGAGAGGCAGCTTAGGGTCCACCCAGCTGGGGTGGCGGACGCGTTCGGACATGTGTGTGCCTCGATAGCGCCCTTACTGGGGACGCCATGGGCTGGGAAGCAGGCATTCCAGACATTTGTGACCCGGCTCTGGTGTGAGCTGAGAAAGCCTGCCCCGGAAGTGCTGCTGTGCCGCCCCCACCGCCCTGGCACCGGCAGTGGTGTCCAGGGGCGCGGAGGGGCTGGGGCCGCGTGCCCACCTCGCCCCAGCAGCAGGGGACGCTGCCCAGGGTCCGCGTCCCGCATCCAGTGTCCATTGCTGGGTTCCGATGCTCAGTGGATTCCCGCCCTCGGCCCTCCCCGTCTTCCCCGCTCGCCCTGCCCTCCTCGTCCTCCCCTCCCCGTCCTCCCCGCTTGGCCCTCTCTGTCCTCCCCGCTCGGCCCTCCCCATCCTCCCCACTCGCCCTGCCCTCCTGTCCTCCGCCTCCTGGCACTTTCCCACAGAGCCCAGCACCGTGACGGCCTGTGCGGCTGTGAGCTCTCCCACCCACTCGGCTCACATACCCTCCAACAAGTGAGGCATGTGGGCCCGCCCGCCTGGAGCCTGTGAAAGTTGGGCAGCCCATGCCTGGAAGCCAAGGCAGACCCGCCAGGGGGTGGCTGCCGGGAGGAACACACGTGTGTTGGCACTGCTCACAAGCTGTGTTTTGGGGGTACGGTCTGTGCAGACAGAACGTGTGGGGACACGTGCTGTCTCCACCAGCTTGGTCACGTGACCCTCCGAGGCCCTCACACGCAGGTACCCAGGCACTCCGACTGGCATGTCGCGGGGGCCAAGGCGTGTGGGAGCAGCTACGAGTACAAATTAGGCCCGTGTGTGCCGGCACCCTCACCGGCTGAATGCCAGCCAGGAAGGTCGGCCCCGTTCTGGCAGCCGTGTGCAGTGAGCCTTCCGTGCCGAGGTGGGAGCCGTGCAGGCTGGCTGTGTGAGCAGCCTCCGCTGGGCACCCTTGTGTCAGAGGGGTCTGTTGGCTATGTTCTGTGGTCATGTGTGAGTTGAAGGCCAGCTCCGTGTGTGTGAGAGAGGGCAGCGGCCTGCCATGTGGCCATGTGGGTCCACCTCCTGTCCAGCAGCACCCCCCCCCCACGGGCATGGAACTCAGCAGGCAGCTGCCTGGAGTAAGGTGGAAGATGGGTGAGCCTCCCTCTAACCACAGGGAGGCTCAAAAGAAGGGTGCTTCCGAGGGCAGCTGGGCCCCCGCCCGACTGGTGGACTGTGGGTGAGCAGGGCTGTGAGCCTGAGCCATGGCCGAGTGCGACTGGGTGGGTGTGAGCCAGGGCCGAGGCAGGTGGCGCTCTGCTGTCCTCACTGGCATGTGTGCGCCCCAGGGGACCCTCCGGTCTGTAGGAATCTGGCTGGGGCTGTATCTGAGCCCACTGGAGCGCTGCACAGCAGCAGCCTGCTGGGCTTGGGCAGCGGCTGCGGGGGATGGGGGGCCTTCTGGGAGAACTCTGAGACTGCCCCCCACCCGGTCCAGTGCGGATCCTCTCAGCTAACTGGTGCACTGGTTGTCGGCATTGAATGAGTTTGCTATTTGCTGCATCTCCCACTCTCCCCCTCCCGCATTCCCGCATTCCCACCTTCCCACATCGCCACCTTCCCAGGGATTTGGCCGACATTGCTTGGATGCCTGTGCCCTCACCACTGGGGCTAGGGCTGTGGGGGTGGCGGTCACGCCCCCTATTGTACTGTGGTCCCTAACGGGCTGGGGCAGGTGCAGCACTTCCAGGGCCTGTCCCAGCTACCTAGGTCCCAGCCATCGCTAAGCCGCTCTGCGTGCCTGGTCCTCCGGGCCCTGTGATGTGGCCACTGGCTGGTCTCGCCCCTCCACCTGGGCTTTGTGAGTGAGCTGGAGGCCTGCTGGCAGAGGTCTCTGAGGTGTGCCCATGTCCCTGGCCTGGGCTCTCTTCCCTGGCAGACACTGGTGCTCGCGGAGCTGCCCTGGCCACACGAGCCCCCCTCCCTGACCTGGGCAGTGGGGCCCCCATTTTCTCTCCCACCGCCCTCACATCTCTGTCCAGGGCTCCAGCACTCCGTCTCTCGATCCCTGGCCCTTCCTGGCCTCTTGGCCTCTGTCCTTGTGGGGTCCCTGTGGTCTGCACCTGACCCATGAGACTTGCTAGTTTGACAGGAGAGGAGATGTGTGGGGGGGACTCTTACCACTGGTCACTCTGCAGATGCCCATGGCAGCCAGGGCTGGGCCAGGCCAGAGCCAGGGGTGGAGTGCCGTTGGGCTCTCCCGGGGGGAGGCAGGCACCTCAGCGTGCCCATTGGTAGAAACCTGGATGAGAATCAGAGTAGGGACTAGAGCCCAGGAGGCCGTGGGGCATCCACTTGCAACCACTTTGCCATGTGTCTGCCGCTTCAGAGTGGCCTGTGGGCCCCTGTCGGCTCTGGCGCTGCCGTCCCGGTTTTCAGGAGTGTGGACCACCACAACAGCCGCTGTTGCGGAGGCTGGCTGCGCTGCCTTTCTCTGACTATAGAGTCATAATAGGTGTGGAGCTGATAGGGAGTTGAAAGGTGTAAGGCTCCCTTTTTGGATAAAAATCAGACTGCATCAGGACTTGAGGTAAGTGTAATAAATGCAAAAACTGCTGTTCCCTCTCGTGGGTAAACCCTCCTGGCATGGAGTGCTCTTCAGCCTCTTCGGCACATGAAAAGCACATGTGACAAGTGACACAAACATGGACATGCACACTTAGCCTCCAGGTCGTGAGGGTGCCAAGCAGGTGAGGGCGAGGGGGTGGGCCTGGAATGCAGCACCACGTGGAGCTTAGTGCAGGCCTCCTGAGCACCCCACAGGCAGGGGCCCTGGGCAGGAACACTCTGCTCCTCCCGCTGCAGCTTCCCAGCTCTGGGAATGGCTAGAGGCTCAGCTCTGCTACTGTGCTGGGAATTTAGGGAAAGTGTCACTGTTTCCAGCAAACTGTGAGAGACTCCTGCGACTTAATGCCTCAGGATATGCCAAAGTAGCAATTAGCTTGACTGGCTTCACAGGGTGAGGTTCCACCCTTGTGAGTGCTACACAGGGTCCTCCTGGGTGCTAAGGGAGTGTGCTGGGTCCTCCTGGTGCTCAGGGAGATGTGTGCTGGGTCCTCCTGGGTGCTGAGGGAGTGTGCTGGGTCCTCCTGGGTGCTAAGTCCTCCTGGGTGCTGAAGGAGATGCATGCTGGGTCCTCCTGGGCGCTGAGGGAGTGTGCTGGGTCCTCCTGGTGCTCAGGGAGATGTGTGCTGGGTCCTCCTGGGCGCTGAGGGAGTGTGCTGGGTCCTCCTGGTGCTCAGGGAGATGTGTGCTGGGTCCTCTTGGGTGCTGAGGGAGTGTGCTGGGTCCTCCTGGGTGCTAAGTCCTCCTGGGTGCTGAGGGAGTGTGCTGGGTCCTCCTGCTGCTCAGGGAGATGTGTGCTGGGTCCTCTGGGTGCTGAGCGAGTGTGCTGGGTCCTCCTGGTGCTCAGGGAGATGTGTGCTGGGTCCTCTGGTGCTGAGGGAGTGTGCTGGGTCCTCCTGCTGCTCAGAGATGTGTGCTGGGTCCTCTGGTGCTGAGGGAGTGTGCTGGGTCCTCCTGCTGCTCAGAGATGTGTGCTGGGTCCTCCTGGGTGCTGAGCGAGTGTGCTGGGTCCTCTGGGTGCTGAGCGAGTGTGCTGGGTCCTCCTGCTGCTCAGGGAGATGCTCTCGGACAGGTGGAAGCATTGTTTCATCTCCTTTCTTGGCCTTGACCGGAAGCCGCCAGCGGAGATGACGGGCTTCTGTGCTGCAGGCCGTCAGTGTTTGCAGACACGAGGGCAGGGCCCCACTCTGCTTTGTCCCAGCTTGCGCGGAGGTTACGGAGGTGTAGACAGGTGAGAGTCGGGGTGCCGCTGGCATGGTAGGGCACCAGTTGCAGGCTCTGCTGCCCCACTTCCGAACCAGCCCCTGGGAAAGCAGTGGATCCCTCACCCACAGGAGGGACCTGGATGCTGGCTCACGCTAGGCCCAGCCCAGCCATATCACCATTTGGAGAGTGAGCCAGCGGATGGAAGGTCTCTCCTCTGTCTCTGTGCCTTTCAAATAAACAAACCTCTGAAAAAAGCTTTTCATGTAAGATTTGTTGACATCTTCAGGAGCTTGCAGGAAAGCAGACCGAAGACCCGAGTGTCCTGGTGCCTAGGCACCTCTGAGCCCCACACCTGTATTCTTGTGATCTGCAAGGACCCCGAGCTCGCTGACAGGTTTCTGTGGTGACAGCACCCATGTGGGGTGTCACTGTGGGTGGAAGCCACAGGAGGCCTCCTGGGAGGAAGTAGTGGAGCTGGTTGGCGCTCTGTGGTCAGCAGGTGCACCTGTGAGCCGTGGGATAGGCCCCAGGTCAGGGCATTCTGGATCTGCCACCTGCTGAGCTGCTCTATGTAGCCTA